ATATATATATACATATATATATATAAATATATAATATAATATAATATATATATATATATATATAAATATAGGACAGCTGAAAGCACAGCTCAGTCTAAATTAAAGTCTGACCATATTTTTGGACACTAATTTGTTCCTAATTATAGGGTAAATACAGATCCAATCACTTATGCTTTCGTAAACTCGTCATATAAAAATGGGTTTCTCAAAAAAAAGTTTCTCTATAGGCAGCATAGAATTAAACATATATCTCAAATAAAGTAAGAAAATTCATAATTTAATGAATAAAAGATTAATTAATTATCATTTATTGAGTTTAAATGCAGTTTTTCTACTAATAACTGCTTCTAAACTCAACAAAAGGAGTTAAATTTGGATTCAAATCTGTATTTTCTTTATAATCAGAACCAAATTGTTGTTTTTTTCCCACTCATTGCATTGATGAAACCTCCAAAATACAAACATTAGACAAGAACTAAACCTTTTATACGTATTTAAAAAGTCAATTTCAAGACTTGGCAACCTTTTCCTGACAGGAAAGATTAATGTGATTGATCATCATCATTAGACGCCATATTGTGACACACTATCTGGGATGTACATGGTGTCTAAATCCAAAACTTCCTTGCAGATTAACGGGGATTTACACACCTGTAAGTTTCCCTAGCCTCCCAAAATAAACAAATAAATGCCTAAAAATATAGAAATCAGGAGCAGCTGCAACAGTTTCTGTGACACTGATGGTTGGTGGAGCTCAAAGTAAAGAAGAAAATGTACTCACTCAGACATTTTGGCGGTTTGTGATCTTCACACCCTGTTCGGAGACAGAAAACATCAGTTAGTGAGGAGCATGTTAAACATAAAGCACACTGACACCCTCCAGAGCTCCCCGTTGCCTCCCTCGTTATCGATCCGCAACCCTTTGACCCACAGCAGGGAGGGAAACACGATACGCTTCACTATCATGGAAAACCGGCGATCACAAACCAGCTAATTTTGGACGGGCGGGGTCAGATATTCTGCCTGGAATTTAACCGTCTTACAGCGAGCCAACGATACGAACACGAAAGGCCACCAGCGCAGGAACCAAATGTGGCCCCCGAGCACGCATTGAGAGCCATTAACACCAATACCAACATCTTGCAGACATGCGAACCAGCTGACACCAGCGTGTCCACAACCTGTTCCAGATTGCAATGTCAAGAATCAGAAACTATAAAACTTGTGGTCAAATGTGCAGATTCAGACTTTTAACATCTGGTTTCTCCAGCGTTTATATCAGGATGTAACTGCTCACAAACGCTCACAACAAACTGCATCCACATTTATAACAAAAAACTGCGCTTCATTTTTAATTAATAATAATAAATTAATAAATATTTAAATGAACCTTGTCCTCAATTTCCTGATTTAATGTTTAAATTAAGCTTTTGCTCAAAGAAAATTAACTTTCTAATGTAATTAGCAACAAATTACATCATTTTCTTTACAGTAAATTACCTGAAAATCACAGACACGCAAACTAAAGTTGAGATTTTGAGCTGATTTTAAATCCAAGCTCTTAAAACTAAACTACTATTTGAATATCAAACCATGCAAACTTAACGAAACATCCAGAGAGCATCAAATCGACAACGAACCAAAATAAAACAACACAATGACGAATTTGCCTCCGGTTCACGTTTTAAATCCAAACTTCAACCTGCCCGAGCGTCCCAGAGTTACTTCACCGCTCAGCGTCCTTCAATAAGTCCAACAGCTCTCTGATTCTACTTCCAAACACCTGAACGCAGCCTCCCAGGTCGGAGGTCACACCTGCAGCAGCACCTTTACAAACCGACCTCTGCAGAATAAATTCACCTCTCTGTATTGTTTCCCTACCGGAGCTAAACGTAGTTGAGCCGAGGAGACTCTCACCTACTGAACGTGACGAGGAGGAGGAAGACGAAGAAGGGGGGGAGACACTGCCAAGTCCTAAACAGTAAAGATTAAACAGGGTATATAGGGTGTGAACCGCTCGCTCAGCAGAAAACTCAGCCCTCTTTATGGTAGCAGAACCACTTCAGACCAATGGGCCGGCAGGCTCCAGAAATACCACAGCAACTCTCAGAGGAACCTCGTAAATTTCTGCCATAGGAAGTCCTGGAGGGACGCTATCGGGTTCCCCCCCACTGAGACACAGTGAAAGGGACCGTTGTTACACAACAGCGTCGGTGATTAATGTTCGCAGATCTTCTTTAAACCAGCAGCTTAACGGCCGCCGGTGCAAACACAGTGTGAAGCTGTGAAGCAGCAACGCAGGAGGAATCAGGGACGACCGCTACAGACGCACATCAGACCCCAAAAACTGACAGGATTTAATCTTAAAGCTTCTGGAAAGAACAAACTGACACCCTGAATATCAACAACTGAGCTAATGTCCCTTAATGAGTGGATTTTTCTGCATTATTCCTGTTTTAATTGTTCCTTGTTTGTGCAGGTTTTTTGTTTGTTTTCAAAACTTTCTGTGCAAAACTAAAAAGATTTGGTAAAAACTCCCAAAAAGTCTAAACATCCACAAAAAAATCTAAATGCAAATGAATGTTTATAACTATTAAGAGCTCAAAAAACACATTTAGACACCCAATATCAGTGTTTCCCAACTTTCTATCTGGGGTTGAACTTCAACTTTATCATCAGTAAAATAATGACCACATTTTAATTACTTAATTAATGAGACAATTAATGCATTTAGGTTAAAAGTAGCGGAGGTAGAATCAGTAGTGTCACTTTTTAACAGCATTTCACAGGAATTAAGCATCTTGTTTTTCCATCAACAAAACAACTATATATATAATACACACAAATACTTAATTATTAGTTAGTAAATGAGGAAAATGTAACAGGAGGAAGAAGTTCTGGAGATGTATTTGCAACCTAAATAAAATCTGGGGATCAGTTGAGTTATATTTTGTGTTTTTCCTGTAGCAGTTTTTATTCCTTAAAAATGTAAAACTCATGTTTCTCTTAAATGTATTTATTTTCTTTATTTGTTTGCTTTGTGATTGTTGGTATTTTGTGTCTCTGCAGCACTACAGTAATTCATTATGATTCTTTACCTTCATTAACAAGCTGCATTTACTGCGTTCGATGAACTGTGTAGGAGAATGAGGGTCAGGTGATGTTAACGTTATCCATCACGATAAGTCTAATTCTAGTGAAGTTGGAAGTTATTTATTCTGTGTTTCGAACTACGAGACGAGAACGTTCAGTCTCCTGCCTGGTTTTTCCTTCAGTTTTAGAATAATTACCAGTTTATTTAACAGGCAGAAGTTAATATATATATATATATATAAATAATTCAATTAATGTCATAAATGTTCAACAAGTTTGAATATTTAATGTATTTATATGTGTGTTTCTGTTAAATACAACGTGGATGTTTTTTAAAGTGACTTTCAGGGTGAAATTGAGAGTTTCGTGCAGGGATGAAATTAAAGTGCAAAGAGGAAAATAAAGTTACTCACCATTCGTCGAACTTCAAGTCGCTCTGGCTTTTTGTTTGTTTGTAAAACTGATGAAAATATTTTGGTGTGAAGCCACATTTAATGAGTGAGAGATGATCCAGCAGAGAGGAAGAGAGTGAGAGAGAGAAAGGCTCTCTGCTGACATCTGGTGGTTGACTGCGAGCATAACGCCCATTTCACTACAATATAAACCCACATTTCTCTACACTGGAAGCAGCTTTTTCTATTTCTAAGTAAGACTTTAAATCTGATCAGATAAACACCAACATCTACCTGTTTCAACAGAAGTAAGAGAATAACTCAAATGTTAAAGAAAAATAACCCCAACTCAACCTTTTAAACTTCCAAACATCGTCTGGAAAAAACTGCAGTATGACAGCGTTTCCTTATTCCAAAAAAAAGATTTAATTTAATGGCACGAGTTTTTTATATTCCATGAAAAGGGTCAGTCGTGGGAAAGAGAGGAAGTGAAAGTCTTTTAGGAAGTCTCGAACATCTTCTTCCTGTCAGCTTTGTCTTCAATGTTCTTACGCCAGTCGCCGACGCCTTCGCCACCCTGAAGGAAATGAACAGAGTCAACACAGCTCTAACGACGAGTTCATGTCTGAAGTAGGGATGTCACGGGAAACCGATACTGCGGTACCAAGTCCTTACCGGTACCGGTTCTTCCGGATCGGCCGGTAGCAGCTTCAAACTATGCTGAAAACGTCTCTGAATGACGTCTGATTGGATTTTTTAAGTCAAAATTATCCAAAACGTCTGGATTCAGGAGGAATTCAGCACCCAGATGCTGCGGTCGCTAAGATAACTCCTTCAGACTTCTCTGTTTCTATTTGATCTGTTTTTGGTTTTATTGTTCAAACGTGTGTTATCTAAGACAGAAAATAATGTACAGTGATCAGAACAGGAAGCGTGGAGTTCGGATTAAAGAGCAACTCCACCAACAGCAGGTGCTGATTGCCCCAAGAGGAAAGGTAGAGAGCCGGAAAGAAACCATGGTGGTTGCTCCTGGATGGTTTTTTGGATAAAATTGGACTCGTTTACAGAGTCAGAAGATTCACTGTTGATTATTTCTAGGGTCTAATATATGTAAATAACTATTAACATTGTTTTATTTATTGTTATCAATTGTCAGTCGGCTGTTAAACAGGTTTTTTCTGACAAATGGGCGCTTAAAATGACCACAAACCTGTGATAGAAACTGAAGGCTGAGAGACTCTTATAGGTTATTGATCGGCAGACAGTCGATATAAAAACGAAACCAACGGGTATTGATGGAATTTGACTGGTACTGGTACAAACTGGTGTCGTGACATCCCTTCTTTAAAGTAAACTGGTTGTCTCACCTCTTCTTTGACCTCCTTCTTGACCTGCTTCAGGTTGGCTCTCAGGTCCATGGTCACCTTGTGTTTGCCTCCCAGCAGGGCCTGCAGCATGGCGTCAGCGGACATACGCACTTTCTTCAGGGCGGGTTTCTTCACGCCGGCCAACTCGACCACCTTCAGCTTCAGCTCGTCGATCTACAAACACACCGATGGAAAGTTCTTCAGTTTGGAGGTTTCTTTAACTGTAATAGTTCTAATTATAAAGGGAGAGTCTCGTTCTCAATTTCACATGAAGTCCAACCAGACTCCATTTAAAAAAACACTAGTTTTACCTTGTTGATAATTGTAAAACAGACTTCAAACTGTACAGAAACATAATAAAACTCACCAAAACCACCTTTTTTTTAGTCTTTCCAACAATCACTAACACTGATTTGATCAAAATAAAACCCTTAATTTACCGACTTATATGTGAAAATACAAACAGTGGCGACCAAACAAAACTAACAGTAGTTGTTTCTGCCAC